AAATTCTTGATCTCCAATCCAAGATTTTTAAGCTCCAAGTGGTTTCTTCACAAGAAAACACACAAGTTAAAGAACCAAAATAATAAAATCCTACTTAGCACCTTCCCCGGCAACGACACCAAAAACTTGATGCGGCATAAACATATACCAAAAATTATAAGTGCACAATTAATCAAGTTATAGAATAAAAAGTTATCGATCCCACGAGCAAGATATTTGTAGGAAATTATTAGAATCAGTTCGTATGTTGTGTGCGTGACAATTAGGAGTGATGATAGATGTGATTGTGGAGAGATGGAGAGAATGAGAATGATTGTGTGTAAAAATGATATTGAGAGTGATAGATAAAGAATAAATGAAATCACAAGGAAAGAAAGGAAAATGAAGGAAATAAAAATCAAGAAAATAAAAGAAAAGGAAAAATAAAGAAAGAAAAGAACGAGAGTTCAATTAAAGATATGAGGAATTTAGAATTGAACCCACCTCAAAAGAAAAGGTAATTCCCTAGAGGGTTCTAGCCTTAAGGCGAATCAAAGAATATGAAAATAAAGAAAAATAAAAACTAATCCCAAGAGAGTTCTAGCCTCAAGGTGAATAGTGCAAAAAAAAATATAACTACAAAATAAATTGTAAAAACTAAACTATAAAATAAATTGCAAGAATTAAATAGGAGAAAATAAATCTACTCTATAAGCATGAAATAAATCTACTCTATAAGCATGAAATAAATCTAAGGCAAGAGGGTTCTAGCTTGTCACGCCCCGCTTCCCAAAATACCAGGGAATCGGAACGTGAACAAGCCCGCGACGTATTAGATTGAGAAGAAATATACACTATCATTTTTTTCTCTTTTCTTTTCTTCTCAACCTAATACGCTAAGCGTCTGGAATAAAACGAAGGCACAGGTCCCCGATCACAGTAGCGAGAATATAATAAACAACTCAGAATAAAATAATATACATATCACAACTGAAATATCATTCGAGACACAAAGTTTGGGTCAAACATGCCCTTATTACAAAACAGTCTAACTAAAATAGGAAAATACATAGTCCGACAAAATAAGAAGGAAGTACTGCAAAATAACTAAGTCCCTCGAAAGACTAAAGGATAATTACTACATAAGTAATCTAGTGTCCATCAGTGACTACGTAACAGAAAAGGCTAAGCTTCCGTCTGTTCTTCTGTTCCACCTGGAAGACACTCCGGCTGGGCATACTCCTGTTCTAATGCATCATCATACTGGACCTGTCCGTCCTCTAAATCTGACGTACACCAGAGAAAACAGGTGTACGTCAGGGTGCAGGGCACACGGCAAGATCCCAAAAGGAAGAATAGAACGGTCGTGTGACCAATGCAAAAACAAATAATAATAACAATAGTAATAATTTAAATGAAATCCACCATTATAATAATCAGAAGAATCCAAAACCAATCGGGTAACGAGGTTATGTGGCTAATGATCAGACTAATCATCCAAGTAACGAGATCATACTACTAGCCATTGTATAACAGGTCACTGGTCACATCTCACACAGAGCCAACGCTCATATCACCGGATAAATGACTGTTCACAAATCCTCTACGTGCATCCAAACCCGCGAAACGGTTCGGTGAGAGGACTACACGAAATCCGATTTCGGCCTGGTTCGAACTCAAGCTAAACTCGGGTGACGAAACGATTTCATTGACCAAGTGCGAAACAGTTCACTTGGCCTAACAAACTAACCCCAGTGCGAAACGGTTCACTGGTTCTAGTATGGAAGATACATCAACAGTCTTATCCGATCACATGAACATTAACTTCCCCATCCCAACTCTCTTGTTTTTCTAAGCTAACGTATACACAGGTTTCTAAGTCTTAAACCGGACACACTAGGCTACACTAGTCATGGTTTTCTAACGGTTCTCAAGCATAACAAAGAGTAATAAACACAACTAATCATATACAGCAAAATCATAACATATCACATAATTAAAATTAAGAAACATAAATCATGAAAAATTCATAATAATCCCTTTTCTAAAATAACTCTTTTAAAGGATATTTATAAATGTTCTAAATAATTCCTTTTATAAAATAAATCCTTAAAAAATATTTATAAATGTTCTAAATAATTTCTTTTATAAAACTTTCTTAAATTATTGAAATTATTCTAAATTGATACTTATAAATTCTTTTAAATTATAATTATTCTAAAATAATTCTTTTTTCAAATAAATTCTATTGTTTTATTATAAATACTCTAAAATGATTTTTCACCAAAATAATTTATTATAATTATTTTAAAATGATTATTTTGTCAAATAAATCCTTAAAAAATCATAAACTAATCTAAAATAATTTTATCTTATTTTATCTTTACAGTATCTATTATCAAAATATTATTTTTAGTATCATTCATCAAATAAATCCGTACAGGTCATCACAGTATATGTATTACATTATGAATGGTCATACGTTATTGTCCACAGTCCATTTCGTTCTCAACAGTTCTATACGTTATAGTTCTCAGTCCAATATCGTTTAATGACAGTTCTATGAATTGTAGGATTGTTGTTCGAGGGACGAGAGTATTAGTGCATAATTGTTTTATATGATAATTTGAAATTGTAACTGAGCAAGAATGAGATCTTTGCCTCGCGGTTTTGGTCGAACGATTCGACCTCGCAGGCGGCGTCTGGGAGATGTTGACGGGGTGGAGTTGCAACGTGGAAGCTGTGTCTGGCTGGCTGCGTACGTACGACGAGCACGGGTGGTTGCGCTGGTGCGCGCTGTGCAGCTCAGACGGAGCGCTTATGGGAGGGGCGGACTCGCTGTCTTCGTCGAGGACGGGAGATAACGGGAGAGCTCGAGAGATGGGGAGAGGACGAGGGTGTGGCTGTGTAGCTGAGTCAGCGGATTAGAGCAGAACGTCGCTAGAGCGCTGAGAGGTGGCGCGGAAGCAGGGCTTGGATGCGGTTGCCGGCTGTGGAGGTCTGGGCCGCGGAGAGGCCTGGCCAAGGGGCAGCGCGAGGTAGGCAGCGGTGAGGTGAGCGCGCGGCGAGGGCTGCGGAGCTCGTGTGGCGGCGAACGAAGAGGAGAGTGCTGGCGACGGTTGTGGTTCGGCGGCTGAGGCTGCAAGCTTGCTGTGGGGAGGCCGAGATCGACGGCGGTGCCCTAAGGCAGAACGGCGTGCGAGATCAGGAGCGGCGGCGGTCAGCGGCTAGCAGGTTCAGCGGCGAAGTGCGGGTCGAAAGCAGAAGCTTGAGCTCGAGAGAGAGAGAGAAAGAAGAGAGAGAGAAGAGGAGTGTACGAGAGAGAGATGAGCTGGGTGAGGTTTAAATAGGAAAAAATTAATAATAAAAAATTAAAATGTGATTGATAATAGAGCTTCTTAGTCTCATTTTGCGGTGCCGTTTTCTTTGAATAAAAAAGAAGAGGGAGAGAACGTGACGAGGGGTAGCTGTTGGGGTTTGACGCGGGAAACAACAGCTTGTAGTATTTTCAAATAGTTTAGGTATTTAAACGAAAATAATTAAAATAAATAATTTCGGGTACTTAAAAATTAAACTAATTACATAATAATTATCTACAAATAAAAACGTACATTTTGAGTTAATACAACAGTTGATATGAAACTGTCAAAAATATACCCGTATTGTACAATTAAACGGAAATAATTAATAATAAAAATATATTTACTTATATTTAAAATCAAATAATTATGTGACAATTATCTACACGATAAAACGTACTAGTTATGCTAATATGACAGCTGATACGTAATAATACAATAATTTACACAAATAATACGTAATTAATAATTCAATATAATACAAGAATTAATACATAATAATAGTAATAATACGACGTATTATTTAAAATAATACGTAATAGTATCAGTAACACAACGGATAAATCCCAAAAATTTTTATTGGACTAAATTAATTTATAAATATAAAAACCATTTAAATAAATATAAAACTTAGACTTTAATCATAGAAAATTCTAAGAAAATCGAGAAAAATACAAATACACTTTTAAAAATCATAATTAAATATTTTAAAATACCAAAAATTTATTTTAACTAGTTTTAAAATTTTACGGTCATTACATAGCTTCTTGGCTATTTAAGTAAGAAAATAAAAAGATAAAAATATTAACAAAGAGGAAATTTAGCACCCAAGAGGGTTCTACCCTCAAGATGAAAGCAAACCTCACTCTTTATCTTCATCTTCATCCCATCTTCATATTCATCATCAAATAAAGAGAAGAAAAGAAAAATATGAAGAGGTGAAAAAAATTCTTTTATTGATTGTAACAAAAAATTACATAATTGGAAGGTCTTCTCAATTAAGAGTAACCCTCCTCTCCAAATAGAGTTACAATTTTTTTACACCCTTAACCCCTCACTCTCTAACCCTATTTATAATAAACATCAACGGATGCAAGCCATTGGATTGAAATCTTATCCAAAACTATCAAAAATTAGTCCTTAATTAGTAACAGAACTGTCAGTATCGATGCCAGCATTAATGTCCTATCAAAATTCTGCCTTCACGGATGTCTTCGTCTCGTCGAGATAGGCGATTTTTATATATTATATGTTAAATTATGCCTTCCGGATTAAGAGATATTGTCGTTTCTTTGCGGCCAACCATCTTGAATATATTTTTTCATATTTGATTTTTTTATTTTCTCCGGCTTCTACAGGCTACTCGGCTTGATTCTAGGCTTGGGCTTTTTGGCTCTTGCTTGTGTTCTTTATTTAATTCATGAGTTTTTGTTGAGAGAAGAGATCTTAGGTTTTATTTTTTGATTAACCTGCAATTAAAGATAAAAAATAATTATTAATGGTATATTTATTCGTATAAAATAGATAATAAAGATATAAAATTATAATAAAATGTGATTATCAGAAAGGTCCGGGGTATATATGCAAAACGCCCAAGGAGAAGCTTAGGACCCCCCCGGTGACGCGGGGATTTGTGGAGGGCTTGTATCTAAAATATCATTCTCTCCAGAACGCCTCCTTTATTATACGTCCCCTCTTGCAGCGCTCTCCTCTCGTCAGTCCACTGTCCACAGCGTCATCCCAAGAGAGGAGCTGACCCCAACAACGAATCTCAACGCTCTCCTCCCCCAAAGTATCATCATGAACTCTCTCCTCTCTCCAAACCCTAACCCTAACCCTAATTTCACCAAAACCTCTCCCTTAAAACAGTCCGACCTCTCGAGCTCAACCGGCTGGATCTCTCTCAGCCCTCATACCCCGCGAATCGGCCTCTCGTTCAACCGGCGGAGCTCGACCTCGAGGTCCGCTCTCTACTCGGAGAGGATCGATTTGACTGGGTTATTGGATTCGGATCCTCCGAATCCGGCGGTGTCGACGTCGTATCGGAGCTCCGATATCCCGAGACCGAACCCGATAGTGCTGGAGGCCCAGGCTAGGGTTTGCACGGGACCGGAGCAGACGAAGCCGATGACCGAGGAGCAGGCGATGGTGGTCCTTGAGACGATTCTTAGATCAGGTGACCTCAGTTCTTTTGAGAGCTCTTACTGATATTTTTAAATTTAGGTCAACTTAGTAGTTCAACTTAATTATATTCTTCTTATTTTTGGTAAGTTTCTGCTTATTTATGTTCGTAAATGATGATTGAGAACTTTGAGATTAGGCATCGAAATATGTATATAATTGGAGCATAGTATTAGGATGTAAATGAGATTAAAATATGAAAAACTGTAAGTTTATTTATCTATCTATTTATTTATTTATTATTACTTCTTTGGGAACTATGTGGCACAATTTATTTGAAGTCAGAGAAGGAGATATTGATGGTAATTTGAATTTGTTGCCTAGAGAGTCATTGTGGACTTTTGTTACTGGATATAGTTCACCCTTGTCTTCGCAGTTTTGGGGCATTTTGTGGCATACTTTAACTGCGTGTACACTTAATTTAAACTGAAAGATGTTGCAAATTTTGGAAAAATTGTTCTACTAGATATTTATAGCTGCAAAATGCATCTCTTGCATTATAGAAAATTGACCACTGTGCTCTTTTTTGGCCCCACGAGCTGGAAAAATTCAAAATTAGGCATCACATATCGAATTGAAGTGTTCTAAAATAAAGGCAACCAATTCATTACATCAATAAATGATGCGCTAGTCCATGCTGGACATGTTTGTGGTCTAAACTTTTATTTGTTAACTTCCTGGTGTGGACTGTTTGCCACTTCTTACATCCTGTATTTCTTGAAGAATAATTATGATCTATCACTTTCAACTGAAAGGTAATCTCCAACAGGATTTAGTGCTCCAATTTTTGTTGGTCATTGGAAGTTAGGAAACAAGAGGACACTTTTATAACATTGTAAAAGATGAATGAAATTATGAAAAAGGATATGAGAAGTGAGAACACTTTTATAACATTGGTTTGGCCTTAATAGGAATGACTTACCAAGGTTTTAACGCTGATCAAAATTTCCAAGACATGGGTTGTTGGTTCTAATAGTTCAATAGTTATATCAACTGCAAACTGTTATTTTTTCTTACAACTACATGTAGAATGCAAGCACACTAATTTCATTAGAAGCTCTGCAGAGGAAGCACTGTACTTCTGCTCATGAGTCTCTATTAAATATATATTTTTACTGTCTAATTTCATTGTAACATGTAAGCTAGGGGAGAACTCAAGGATGAGGAAGTTTCTAAAGCACAGCTTGGAGCTTTCTTTGCTGCAATGACAATACGAGCAAATGCTTTTCCAGAAGCTACTCAATGGAGTGAAGGAGAAAAGCATGCCATGAGTATATTCTGGCCACGTCTTCTTCAGGTTCTCCCCAAAGATGTTATTTTCATAGCAGATCCTGAGGGTACAATCATGGGGACAAGTAGTTCTATTGGTCCTCACTATGTTGGAAATGGAATTGCTGAAATGAGACTGGTTGGTGCTCTCAGGGAAGTTTTGGCAGGTGGTCATCTTGGTTATGAGGAGGTTCAGGGTGTTCTAGGAGATGTTCTTCCTTTGAATGGTAAAAATGGAAACACAGAAATAGTGAGTGAGTCATTGCTTGCAGCATTTTTAATAGGTCAGAGGATGAATAGAGAAACTGAGCGCGAGCTCAAAGCTTACTGCCTTGCATTTGATGATGAGCTAGGTGACGACTAGCTTCCTGGTCCTGAGTTCTTTAGTACATGAAATTCTTTTGATCTCATAATCGTGTCTGATAGGCCTTTAATTTCAATCTTTACTATTTATTAGGGCCTCCACCAGTTGCTGATGTTAGATCCTTGACTCATTATGGTGAACCATATGATGGAAATACTCGTTTCTTCAGGAGTACACTGTTTGTTGCTGCAGTAAGAGCTTCTTATGGTGAATCTTGCTTGCTTCATGGTGTGGAGTGGATGCCACCTAAGGTCAGTAGAACTTTAATTGATCATTTTATTGGTGTCATTTCCTTTTACTCTTGGAACTTTCGAGTTATGTGATCCAAGGTGACTAGCATTAGTTAATTTTGTTAGCTATAATCAAATATGCATCATTTTCCCTGACATATTCTGTTGTTAAGGTTTTCAGGGGGGCATAACAGAAGGGCAGATGCTGAAGTTCATGGGTGCAAATACCCAGTTATCTCCATCACAGGCAAAAACTCTCCTAGAGGTGTGCATGCAAGTTTGGTCTTCTGTAAATCATAACTTCCTTGGGGTAGGGGTGTTCAATTGGGCCTTCGGCCCGGACCTAGCCCGGTGTCCAGCCTGGACCCGGCCGGGTCGAAACCCGACTCGGGTCTGGGAAAAGCCTCGAAAATCTGGGCTGATCGGGCTTCGGGCCCGGATCTGGGTTGTGTTGGTGGAAGCTATGCAAGTATATATATGTGGAACTATATATATATATACTTGTAAGTATACAAGTATATGATATTATATACTTATATATACTCTTACCATGGTATAGATACTAAGATATAAGTATATATAATGTAGTTATAACTTATAAGTATACTTATATGTGTATATTATAGGCTTATAGTTATATAAGTATATTTTATATAAGTGCATAAGTACAATTTTATTTAAGTATATTGCATTTAGTATGTATGTATGTATATGTATTAAGTATATCATATAAATAATATATAACTATACTTAAATAAGCATAATATAAGTATGTAACAAATACATATATAACTATATAATACGTATTTGTAAGTAAGTAATATATACTTATGTGATTCTTTTTCTCTCAAGTTATAAGTATATACAGTATACATATAATATATGTATATACAATATATAGCTATATACTAATATGTAAGTATATACTAAATTACTAATACATACTTATATAAATATAATAAGATTAATCCAACTTTTTAGCAATTTTTTTCCAAAAAAAAAAAAAATCCCGACCGGCCCAGAGCCCGACCCGGTTTGGCCCGGACCCAGACCTGCCTGGGAACCCCGGGTCTGGATCCGGGGTAGTCATTGTGCCCGGGCTGGACTCGGAATCCGGGCCGGCCCGTCCCGTTTGGACATGCCTATCTTGGAGGAGCTTTATGCTACTCTTCAATCTTGTCCTTTGATTTCAGTTTACTTCAAGTTAACTATGTGAGCGCCTAATCTTGCAGGATAAGGATCTCAGCTTCGCCTATGTTGGCCAGCAAGAAGCTCGCCCATCTTTGTAAGAACATTCATCAATGTTTATAAACTTTGGATATATTCATCTTTTTGTTATTTTTTGAGTCTTCCTATATTCTTCTACAAATGAGGCATGAATATGAGCTTCAAAGCGCATCCGTCTATTTGATTCGATACTAAAGATACTGATGCACAGTTTACCTTTGCGTGCTGCTTTACAATGACATACATTCGTAGTCTTTGTGTTAGCATAAAAACTATTATTAAGACTTCTTTTCCTTAGTTTGTATGCCAGTTTCTTAATGTTTATTGTGTTTGAACTTGTTGGTCACCTGGTGCTATCACTATTGCTCTTGTTCACCATCCCTGTAATTAGTTAGTTAAAGGATGCTGTTTTCTGTGCAGTCAGAAGTTGGCATTTGTTGGAAAAGTGTCTTGCTATATAGATGACAAGTGATGTCAAATGTGTTTTGAGTTTTGTGTTGCTTGTGCTTGAACTTTTGCTCAGAGCATGTTTGGCTAAGTGTTTATGTTCAACCAGACTTTAGTCATGCACATTATGTTATTCCAGAATGGACGATCAGCCTAAAAGAAAAGAGCTTTCTGTATATTTTTGAATCAAATACTAAATGAGCTACTAATTGTAGATGGTAGTATGTGGAACGTTTGCTGTTATTGTTGGAATCCACCTAAATTTGCGGCATTCATCTATTTTTACTCAATATCATCTGTGTTATGTTGATTCTTCAGGTATTCACTCATTGGCCTCCGGGAGCACATCAAGAAACGCCCTCCAATAGCAACATCAGAGAAAGTACAGCAGTTTGTAAGGGTAAATAATACCTTTTGTTTCGCTTGTAAAGTAGATCATATATTACTTTCCTTTTTTGCATGATTGTTTCAGTGTATTGATCGAGAAGCTTCTAACAAACTGTGACAAAACATGGTCCTGATGCTATAAACTATAAACTTGTTTGCAATGGTGCTAAAATGGTTGATGATTGGTTATTTTCCTTCCGCTAATTTTCTTGGAGCATCATCTGCCTGCACACCAAATTTTTCTTGAAATGTTATAAACTAATACTTGCGAGCAAATGTTGCCTTAGTAGGAAATATGGGGACACAAGAAAACTACAGTCTAAAACTCGAGAACCACTTGGCTTAATCATGGGTTTCCCTCTTGTTTATAAACTTTATATTGTGTCTGTTCCATATCTTGCATTCCATATTTTTAGTACTTTGATATGATCACAATATCCTTGATCATTTGCTTATTTTCCTCCCATATAATTTTCTCGAATTGTCATTTGCTTCCTCTCCACTTACTAGAAAAATTATAAACTAACCTAGTGCATAAGCGGAGCATAGCAAAAAATAGCTAAAACCTAGAAGGCGGGGTTCTAAAGCTAGAAAATTACATGTCATCAGTTTTCTCATGCCTTTTCATGTTAGAATAGATAATTATTACCCTTAACCTAGGCTTGTCCAAAAGGGCCGACCCAGATTTTCGAGTCCGGACTGGGCAAAAAGCCCTACCTAGACCCGGGCCCGGAGGGCTCGTGTCGCATCGGGCTGGCTTGGTTTTTTAACTTGTTCTTTTTTTCATTTTTGTGCAATAAAAAGGAAAAATTTTAGATTTTTTGTTAAAAAATGATAACTTCAGAAGTAATTAAAAACATGCAAAATTTTAACAAAGAAATTCAATCTTATTATTGGTCACTTATATAATTATGCAATTTGCAAATTTCATAGAAAGTAAAAACGATCAAAAATAATTTTTTTATTATTAATTACTGAGAATTACAATATTTTTTGTAAATTATTGCATCACAATAGATGAGTACATGCTAACTACATTGGGAACTACCTATCTATATCACTATCATTCGCAAGTCGCAACTCTTTTCGTTTAAAAAAAATAAAGACTAAAAATTACAAATAACTTTCTAGTTTCTACATTTTAACTCATATCATTAACTCATTAAGTCTATCTTTAATACTAGTTATCCGGTCGATATCTTGAGTTCTCTTCTCATACCTTCACCAATCTTGTAAACACATTACCGCCTGTACAGTAGATGGATCTAGTGATATTCTGTAGTCATCCATTAACTGTCCTGATGTACTGAAGATGGATTCAGGACCTGCAGTAGAAATACACACTGTTAGTAAATCACGAGAGTCATGATGGAAAACATAAGACATGAAACTGTTTCATATACTTTCTACTATTGCAAAATATCAAACTCTTCATTATTTTGAGGTTAGACTAAAAGTACAACTAAATATTGTTCAATTTTAGAAATTTTCCTTGATGATGCTCCTGTTTTACGACTACTGTCCATATCAGTTAGCCTCTCTATCATGATTGTCTATCAAAACCCTTATCTTTGCTCCGTCTAGAGCTCGTAGAACCTATATGTTGAGATGGTAACAACCAAATAATAATATAGTAGCATCATATTATTTTTTTCACAACTTATAATTGTCCATTCACATCAATTATTCCTTACTAGAACTATATGCAGGGATAAAACTAGAAGCATAGAAAGTAATAAAATTATTTGCAATTTCTTTCTAATTTATTACTACATTTAATAGTGCATAAGTGGAATTCACCTATGCTCAACATCTTTCGGAAGTAATTTAGCATTTTAATTTTTTCTTCTGCACAATTATTTTTATCTCTTAAGTCTTTGTTCAGAAGCATTATGAACATAAGTTATAACCCTAATTTTTTCTATCATTGGTCTTATTTCATCAAATGCACTTTGTATAATTAGATTCAAAATATGACACTCGCATCTAATATAAAAAGGTCACATTGACATGACAATAGCGAAGATGATTTGATATGATTTATAAATACGTTGTTATTGTTTGGGTTATCTAGTGAAAAATAATATTTTTTAGCAATTTCTAATTTTAAAAGTTCTTCAATTATTATATTTGCAACATTCACACTAGTGTGTAAATCTTCAAATGAAATACAAGAAATAACTCTTCTAAACATTTGCAAAACGTCATCTATCCAGTGTGTTGTGATACATAAATAACATGTTTGTGTTCTAGATATCTAAATATCAGAAGTTAGAGAAAATCTATAGTTTAAGCTTTGTTTTGAGATTTGAAGAGAAAAGAGTTTCTTGGAGAGATCTCCCCTTACTCTATATTTTATTATTTATAAAGATGAATTAGTTACAAGTTAGTCTCACAAACAATGTGAGACTAAACCAATGCTAAACTAATACTCTCTTCTAACACTTCCCTTCAAGCTGGAACATATATATCATGCATATGCCCAGCTTGTCACAAATAAAGTCAACCCGTGTTCGATCAAGTAGTTTTATAAGAATGTTTGCCAACTGATGTATTGTCGATACATGTTTTGCCGTGGTGATTTTGTCTTCGAGCTTCTTGCGGACTACATGACAATCGACTTCAATGTGCTTGGTTTTCTCATGAAACACATGATTCTTAGCAATGTGAATTGCTGTTTTATTATCGTCATATAGACTCATGGGACATTCTAGAGGGAGATCAATCTCTGTCAATAGGTCTCTGATCCAAATCATGTCAAGTGTCGTATTTGTCATAGCTCTGTATTATGATTCTGTATTGGATCGAGACAACACTTTGCTTCTTACTTTTTCATGACACCAGATTTTTTCCGAGAAAGACATAATATCCAGTAATCGATCTCCTATCAAAAGGACGTCCGGCCCAATCTGCATCAGAGAAGCCTGCAACTCTGGTGTGCCTTTGATTTGAGTAGAAAAATTTTCATCCTGGAACCTTCTTCAAGTACCTCAAAATTCTCATTACTACATCCAAGTGAGTAGTTCTTGGTACAGATAAGAACTGACTCACAACACTGACTGCGAATGTGATGTCAAGTCTGATCACCGTTAGATAATTCAGTTTTCCTACCAATCTCCTATACTGCCCAACATCCTCAAGAAGCTCTCCCTAGTCTGATAGTAGTTTTGAGTTTACATCCATTGGAAAATCATTATTTTGACATCCTAACATCCCGGCTTCTGAGAGCATATCCAGGACATATTTTCTTTGTGATAGAAGAATGCCCTTCGTTTGCTTTGTAACTATAATGCCTAGGAAGTATTTTAGGGAACCAAGATCTTTGATTTGAAAATATGTCTGTAAATGCTTCTTCAGGCTGTTAATACTAGAAGCATCATCTCCTGTAATTACAATGTCATCCACATAGACAACTAGCATAATTTGTTTCCCATTCTGAAATCGTCAGAAGATAAAGTGATCTTTCTGTGCACGACAAAGCCTAAATTTCTAAAGAATCGATGCAAAACGTCCAAACCAGGCTCTCGGAGACTGCTTCAGACCATAGAGTGATTTTTTCAGCCTACACCTTCGCATTCGCCCCATGAGCAACAAAACCTGGTGGTTGCTCCATGTAAACCTCATCTAGGATACCATTAAAGAATGCATTCTTGATGTCCAACTGATAAAGTGGCTAGTGATGTTTCGCTGCTAACGAAACAAAAATCCAAACATATGTTATTTTTGTCACTGTAGAAGGTATTTATATAATCCAAGCCATATAATTGTGAATAGCCTTTAGCAACCAGTTGGGCTTTCAGGCATGCCAAAGTTCCATCAGAATTTAACTTGACAGTGTACACTTGCAACCGACGGAACGCTTTCCTGACGGAAGTGAGATCAAATCTCAAGTCTCATTCTGCTGCAAGGTCCTCATTTAGTCCTGCATCGCTTGGTTCTAACCTGAAATAGATAGGACTTCTGACACATTCTTGGATACCAAATAAGAGTCGAGGGAAGTAACAAAAGATCGAAAGATAGAGGAGAGGCGATCATAGTATACAAAGTTAGAATAGAATGTTGAGTACAAGTTCGTGTCCCTTTCCGAAGTGCAATAGGAATGTCTTCCGTAAAAGGGGGTAAATTTGTACTTACTGATTCAGGTTTTTCGGGCGGAGGACGTTGTGTTGAGACTGACATTGGCACAGGAGCAGGAGCAGAGCGACGATAATAAACTTGAATTGGATCGTTAAACCAAACCGAGTCTTTGCCAGTAGTGCAAATAATATTATCAGTGGATGAACCACCACTGTTAACCAATGATTCTTACAGGATAAATAGTCGTACTCATCCGGTGATAATAGAAATGGACAACTAGAATGATCGATTTATCTTCAAAGAATGTTGCATCAGCAGATAACACAAGACAATTGAGTGACGCACAGAAACACTTGTAATCTTTATGCTTTCGGGAGTAGCCAAAAAAATACCTTTAATAGACCGAGAGTCAAAACTTTTGTTTATTTGGACTATGATTATGAACAAAGCACAGAGAGCCAAAAATCTTTGGAGGAGAGATCATCGTTGGAGTATAGAACTTTGAAAGGAATTTTATCTTGTAGAACAGAAGAGGACATTCGATTAATCAAGTAACATGCTGTTAAGATAGCTTCCCCTCAAATTTCTTTGGGAACATGACGATAAAATAGCAAGGTCTGAGCAATATCAAGGAGATGTTTATTTTTTCGTTCAACTCTATTTTGCTGAGGAGTGTAAACACAAGAAGACTGATGGAGGATTCCATGTTCAAGGACACTAGTGAAGTTGCCATCTAAATAGTCGTTTGTATTATCAGATCGTAAATTTTTTATCGAAATCTTGAATTGATTGACTATTTAAGAATAAATGAGCTTAAATATAGTGAAGATTTCAGACCTAGACTTGAGAAGATAAATCCAAGTAACACGAGAGTGATCATCCACAAAACTAACAAAATATCAGAATCCCAGTTTAGAAGTTATTGGACATGGTCTCCAGATCTCAGAATGAACAAAATCAAATGGCTTAGCAGCCCTCTTATTGACTCGATTAAGATAAGATACATGATGGTGTTTGCCAAGTTGACACGACTCACACTCTAATAAGGAAAGAGATTTGAACTGGGGATTAAGAAGCTTGAGAACAGAGAGAGGGATGTCCTAGCTGACAGTGGTATTGTAGGGTTGATAAGTTTCTGATACAAGCCAAATGTTTGGCGTCTAATTCCACTTTATAAAGATCGTTCTGCTCATGTCCCGTCCCAATCGTTTTCCTCGTGATCAGGTCCTGAAAGACAAAATGCGTGGGGAAGAATGTCACTGTACAGCTTAGAAGTTTAGTAATCTTACTAACAAATAAAATGTTATAGGGAAAACTAGGAAGATAGAATACGAAGAAAAGAGGAAAACCAGGAGTAGGATTGGTATTACCGATACCTTGAATAGGTGTACGTCAACCATCAACTAATATAACTGAATTAGATGTAGGGGAGAAAGATGACAAGATACCTTGATTCTCAGTCATATGATCTGTGACACATGTATCTATAATCCAAGTATTAGACGAAGACGATGTAAGAAGATAAAGGGGTACCTGCACTTTTGAGACTAGCGGATAAGGAGGAAGACGATGTTTGTGAACTCTGGTACTGCTGGAATAATTGAAATTGCTGAAATTAACGTTGCAGCTCCACATCATGGAAGAGTGACTGTGGTTGACTTTCACTATCAGATGAGGTAAAGTTGTCCTGAGTGGTCATGTAAACACTATTGACTTTTTTCTTTTTCAATTCAAGACAATTATATTTGAGATGTATTGACTGGTGACAATAGTTACTAGTGTTCACTGAGTCATCGTCATGAGCATGTCCGCCTTGAGATGGACCTCCATGACCACCTCGTTTATCACCTCGGCCCCCAGAACGACCAGTGTGGTAACCTTCCCTCTCTTCAAAGTTTCCTCTACATTTTCCAGGATCACTAGTATGACCCCCTCGTCCATAAAACTGCTAACTCTGAGTGGCAAGCGCAGAGCGATCTGCAGTGGATGTAAGTGGCTGTGCATGGACAACATTCTTCAAAAAGTGATAAGTCTTAGCCAGAGAACTAATGGCGGAGCTCCTCATGATTTGTGATCGAGCAGAGAAGTAAATGGAATCGAGGGTACCTAAGTAGGTGAGTACCATAAGTTTGTTCCATTAGTTCTGTATTTATTTTACATACCTAGTAATAGAAAAAATCTGACGAAGTTCCTCAATTAGATGATTGAACTCATCATAATGATCATCCATGGGTTTACCATCCTGTTTCTTACGAAATAGCTCTTGAATTATTTCATATGCCCGATTAATATTGTTGCTACCCCCATTGAGATCTTGCAAAAAGTATCAAAGTTTTTTCATTGTCATACAATAAAGAACTAAATCTTGAATTTTAGGCTCTATGATAATACGAATTTGATGCTATATGACACTATCATCCAATGTCCAAGATTCTAATGTCAGAGTAGGAGGGTCCGTCAACAAATGGCCAGTTTTGCCTCGGCCTGCCACAAAGATTTCAATAACATGTTTTCACTGGAAATAGTTAATTCCATCAAGGTTTCGGTCAATGATTCTACCAGAAAATATATCCGAAACTTTCATCTGGACCATTAACTCAGAATTCTTGAGTTCCTCAGATCCAGCCATTATGAAATACACGAGTAGAGTTCAAGACAATACCCTCCACAAGTTGTACTCTAAAATGAAAACAATCAAAATATGTCCAAGTTTAAGAAAATAATTCTTGAATTAGCCAGTGGGCTGAATAAGTCCAAGAACCCGATTGTTTAATTTTGAACCCGAAGGTTAAAGTGCAAGAACTCGAAGGTTAACATGGAACCCGGAGGTTAAAGATTAAAAACCCGAAGGTTAAAGATTAAGAACTCGGATGTTAAGATGGAACCTGAAGTTTTTTTTATTTTTACAAGGCAACTCACAGATCTGATTTAGATCTGAAAGTAAAAAGAGAGTGACGAGCGGCTGACATGGCGGCAGCGAGCGAGGGCCTCATGGTGGCGACGGTCATCAACGGCAAGCGGCGTCGGGTTGCAGATCTAGATCGGATGACGAATGAGCTCGAGGGCGAGGACGTGGATGAGGTGGACGAGGATGAGGACAATGATGATGACGATGATGGCGATGACGATGACGAGGAAGATGAGGACGATGACGATGGCGTGGACGACAAATGAACTTGGCGGCGAGTGCTGTGGATGTGAAGATGCGATAATTAGGGTTAGGGTTTCGGAGAGAGGCAGTTGCAGGGTTTTGGCGGTTAGGGTTTTGGAGACAAGCGACTGACCTAGGGTTAGGGTTAGGGTTAGGCTTAGGAATTTGGATTGGTATTAGGGTTAGAGTTAGGGATAGGCTCTGATACCATGTTAAGATTTAAAGAGAAAATAGTTTCTTGGAGAGATCTCCCCTCACTCTATACTTTATTATTTATAGAGATGAATTAGTTACAAGTTAGTGTCATAGGCAATGTGAGACTAAACCAATGCTAATTAATACTCTCTTCTAACACTTTGAAAATAAGAAATTATTACTCGTGATAATTTTTCAAAATATCTCATTAGCAACTTTGGCGAGAATTTTTTTGAAAAGCGGGATAAAAATGTCTCTATTTATATCCTCCAGTTAATTATCTTTTACTAATTTAAAAGGAAGATTTTAAGAATAATAAACCTGATGATGCTTTTTTTGTCTCTAATTGGGTGGTAGTTAACTGAACCGAGGCTACCGGAGGAAGATGATTGAGAGATTCGAGATTGGCGGATGTCGCGTTGAGCTGTTCCTTGACCTCTATTGTGTTTTTGGAAATGTCATTTGAGGTGGTTAGTCCCACTCTTCACTCTTCTGATGAGCTTCTAAGACATGACTGCATAACTCACATTTTGCCTTTTTTGGCGAGAAGTCTACCGTATTCATCCTTGGTAACTCCTATCTTCTTGAAAAAAGCTCACATTTTTGATTTAGGAACTCTAGGTGTTGGATCATCGTCAGATTTGAGTTCAACATTGGTAGGAGTGGTAGTTGCAGGACTCAATTCGGGAGATAAATTTTGTTCTTTGTAATCGGAGGAGGAAGCTAATAAAATTAGAGAATTAGATAGTATTGGAAAGAATATAAGACATTAAGAGATAGCATTGTTGTATTAGAGAGATTAAGAGAGAGTATTAGAGAGAAGAAGATGAGTTTTGGATGAGGGGAAAAAATAAAAATTCTCTCTATTTATAGAGACAACCCCCTAGTCAAATGAACAAAATACCCTCAAATATTGGTCTTGTTTTATCGTTTTGGAGGGTGTTTTGTTCATTTGACCAAAATATAGCTGTTTTGGCTATTTTGGTCTGCCCAAATCGTGCTGGGTCAGGGTTTGTGTCAGCTCGGATCCGAGTTTGTCTGCCCGGAACCTTAAAACCCTGGCTGGGTCGGGCCTGGGTTGGGCTTCTGCAATACAACGCGGGCCTGGAACCAAGCTGGGACCTACCATCTGGGCTTTTCCCAGGCTCGGGCCGGGTTTTGGCCTGACTGGGTCCGAGCCAAAGCCGGAATAGACATGCCTACCTTAACCCTTACATTAGAAGGGACCTATAACATGCTATAAGAGGTTTTTTGGGTCAAATCTCATAGTGTGCACATTTAACAGTGATTATAAAATGCATACCGGGGAGCAAATAGTCCAGGTTTTAGTTCGTGAAAAGAACGTTCAAACTATGTGAGGGCATATCAGAGTATGAAACCACAACCCTTAACGCTCATCAAAACTTCGACTTTGGAGTTTTGTGCTGAAGAAGGGACTTTTAACAGTGGGTTTCTCTTGACAAACTTCATTTATTGACTGTGCTGATTTTGTTCCATTTATTTCATTTTATTTCCTGCACCTGCTTCTGAGTTGTATGAAAATGCTTGTTTCTTTGAAATTCATGGCTTCTGTGTAGATCTTAAAAAATTCCAGAAACCCTTCTGAGCTAGAAGGAATAATGTAACAAGGCATCGTTGCTGAGTCACACACAACATTTTCCCACATAATATGCTACTTCTATGATGAATCTGTGTTGTCTACCAAAATTCCTCCATCATTCTGCATTGCTAATTACACTATACCACACAATATTAGCATCGTCTTGTTTGATTGTTATTTCTCTAAATGGAAAATCAAAGATATATGGATGCAGTTCGTAGGGCACACACGGAACGAGAATGGATATGGGTTTAGCTCAATAGTTGCATGCATTAGGTTCTTTCTCTGGTGAATTTTGGCAATTTGTCTGACTTAGTTGGTGGTGTACACCTACTCAGAAGCCTAAGTCAAATTTATTTCTAATTTTTAGATTATTCTGATTATTTTCAGATTTTTAAATATGGTGTTCAAATATATCCACCTTAATCTTATCATGAATACTGTAGTTAAGTAAAAAAGAAAGTATAATGATGTCTATAAAGAAAATATAATGATGTCGTTGACACATTTCCATAAGCAGCCAGATTTGTGATCCCTATACTTTACGTGCCTTGTGGTAAGATGTTTACAGGTTCTTTTGTCTATGTAGGCTCGTGGAAGAGAAGCTATTGTGGCGGGATTTTATCATGAGGGTTATGAAGAACCCTTGTTAATGCTTATGAGAAGAAGAAAAGTCCATTCAGGCTTGGTTGTTAAGGTATTTTATGTCTTAGCATACAAGTGACCATTTGGTATGGCATCAGAGAGAAATACATGTGGATTAGCATTAACAAAATCAATCCCTTCTCTCTATTTTTCTCTTTACTTTTCTCTTCTAGTCGACCTCTCACATACGAACATATGGTTCTAAATTATATTATGTACTTATCAAGCATTTCAGTAGAAGCTGTCTTGACAGTGCTTTCTTTATGATTATTACACTGTTGTTTTATGCACTTAGCTAAGTTACATAAAACATATCATGAAAATCATGTTTTCAAAGTTGATAATTAACAGTGCATACTGTACAGGTGCAGTTTGGCTTCATGCTAAATGTCTAAAGAACTGATTTTTTTGTTCTTTGCCGATCATTTATTTCAGCAGCATGCAAAACATTTGCTAGCTCCAATTTCCCAAACCCATGCCTACCCCATCGTAATCTTCCCTACCATCCCTCACACACATATAACCATGTCCCCACACACACAAAAGAAAAAGGGAAAAGAAAACTATGCAATATTATGCTAAATGTCTAAAGAACTGATTTTTTATTCTTTGCCGATCATTTTTTTTCAGCAACGTGCAAACCATTTGCTAGCTTCAATGCCTCAAACCCATGCCCACCCCACTGTAATCTCCCCCACCCCTCCTCTCCCCCTCCCTGCATCCCTCACACACATATAACCATATCCACACACACATACAAAAGGGGGAAAAATTCAATATCAGTACTTTATAATTTCAGGCATCTGCCTCGTAACTCATCTGGTTATTTATGCTGCTGTAGGGTGAGGAAGGTGCACTATCCATGACAACTAAAACAAGATCAGTGAATGCATCAAAAGGTCTTCCAGTCGGATTTCGCTCTCCATTTCAATTTAACTGACACTTCGTTCGGATGGTTATGGCCTGGTGATTCAATTGATTTCTTTCCCTTAGACATTATAGAGGATAGAATGCTTGATTGGGGTGAAGGCCAACTCATGCACGATGCAATCATCAAATACACTATTGGAACTTGACCTAACCCGAACTTAACCCAAATTTAACACGTACCCAACCTGATCATAAAGTAACCTGTTCAGGGTGGGTTGGGCAAAGTCTTGTTTGGGTCATATTGGTCAGGTTAGCTATCACAGTGATATTAAAATGAAAATCATTGTGCAAAAACTACAAATATTCAATAATTTAAACTAACATTTATATAAGTAGCTGTACAAAAATTACTCGAAATATGCAATGTATTTTTAATTAAATTCTAGGTAGTATGAATGCTAAAAATCTTAGGATGTAATTCCTTTTTCTTTACATGTTGCATATCTAAATATTTAAATGTAATTAGTTCGAATTCAACTTTCTTTAACTTGAAACATGAGAATGGCAATTTGTAGAGGGTACAGAAGGGGTGCTAGGGTTAAAGTTCATTACTCACACGCATTTACATAAATATGCATGTAGTTGTATAACAACATTGCTGGCTTGGGTTGGACTGGGATGCCAAAAGGTTAACCCTAATCTAACCCGAAAACTTTACAAATCAAACTTCTCATATGCTCAATCCAGCCGAACCTTGTCCATCGAGTGAGAAAATTTGTTGGACATGAGGGGTTGAGGTTAACCCAAATTTGGACCTGTATATGACATGTGGAATTAATGTTAATCCGTCAGGGTTAACTAAACAGCGTGCCAAGTGCCAACCCTTAAATCCAACATGGTTCCAGCATTCAATCTTCATATTTGTATGTGCAGTATATACCTTTTAAAATGCATATAATTTTACTTTATTTGTCTACTCATAGAAATTTTTATTTTCTGTTTTGATGGATCTGTTTGTCTACTTATTATCCATTCCGTCTTTGTGAAGGAATTACGCGCGAGAGTTTCTCCATTGATGTTAATGCCAAAGATTATGGTTTTGAACCAACAGATACTCCAAGAACTGATAGATCAGTATGTTCTTTCTTCCATCCTTGTCTTCTCGCTTAATATATTAACTGGGCTATCGTGTGCTTTCATTAAAATCATAAGATTGTTTTATAGTGTTAATCGGTTCTTCCATAAACACATACTTTTGATGTAACATTTGTGGTTATTTTTGTTTTCTATTTTTATTTTTTTGGGGCTAATAATAAAGTGAAATTGATGGAACTTGTTGCTTGGGGAGAGAGGAAAGACAGGTATTGATTTCATGAGTTTTTTTTTTTTTTTGACTTGGATGCAAAATCATGCATTTTCTTAAGTGAAATATCTGCCACCTAATATATAGGTAATATTGACTTGAGATGTAAAAGTCATTTCCATGGTAACTAATTTTATATCTACAAGCAATGTCTTCATCTTCTAGTAACTAGACTTGGATAAGCAACAACTTGATTGCTTGACGATATTAGTTAATTATACAACATCCTTCCTCCAAATTTCAGGTTCTGAAAAATATAGAGTTGGGTATAGCAGCATTATCTGGTGAAAAAGGGCCAGCCTATGATCGAATAATCTTGAATGCCGGAATGGTTGACCATTTACTGGGCTGCAGAGGAGCTGAGGACGTACATTCTGCCTTGGAGCGGGCAAGAGAAGCCGTTGACAGTGGCAAGGCTCTCAGGAGGCTCATGAACTACATAAAGATATCTCACAAAGTATAATAATTCCGACATATAATGAATTTGTTGTTGTCCGTGTAATTTTGCTGAAAGCTGTAACAGGATGTGCATTGCTCTTGTACAGACCAATAGACAGAAAACAGGTGCAAACCAATAAACAAAAAAAAGAAAAAAGAAAAAAGAAAAGATAAGGAACCAGGTGCAAACCAATAAACAGAAAAAGAAAAATGAAAAGAAAAGATAAGGAACTGGGTCGGTTGTGTGATGAAGCCTTTTTTTTTTGAAACAAAATTTTCAGTTTAATTTTGCTCACTTGTAGGAACCTAAAACCAGGATGTTTTCTTTATGTTCTGAATTGTTGTAATTTATGTGTATGTATTCTATCTTGCAACGATGCTTCATTAGGAAAAGCACACTACTCATTTTTATTTGATTGTATGCGGTCTGTCTTACAAATTTCAAGCTGTTTGGTTGCAGACTTGCAGAAGTATCATATTCAGGGTGTAGTTGAAACTGTATCATGGTGCATCTCAATAAGTGTTGCAATCAGATTCTTGCCAATTTGTAAGTAGTATTTGCTCTCGGCCTCTTACAAACAACATAATATTGAATTTAAAACAACACTGATTACAACTACATCACACTTGTTAATTCCCATTTTTCTAGCGCTACAGCAAAAACATACTCATATTGGCGTATCTTTTTTTTTAATATCAGTGCCCATATTTATCATTCATTAAATCCGAGGAACCCTGAAACGGCAAACTCTGATTCTCTCTGACCTGATTCCTCCTGATCTGAGTGTGTCTGACCTGATTCCATCTGACCTGATTGTGTCTGAACTGATTCTGTCTGACCTGATTCTCCCTGATCTTCGTTTACGAACCTGCAGTCTCTCCTGATCTCCCCTTGATCTCCCACAAGCACACCAACCGCTGAAAGTTTCGCCATTGCTTTTGTAAACAAATCCTCCCATAGTCCAGGTTTCTCCGAAAGCTCCTTCACTATCCTACTTGTCCTCTCATCATTTGTCAGCGTCTGGTCTGATGTCAGTAGCCCCCTCCCCTTCATCAAATGCCTATAATACGAAGCGTCCAGCTTTTGGCTGGTTCCGACGTCGAAGGGGACCTTCATTGCACTGTCGAGGTCGAGCCCCTTGGTGATCAGGGTCAGCAGCGACTCCGTCTGCGGACACCTTGCCTTCAGCACCTCGGCGTACATAACGTCCAAGGTTGGGTCCTGCAGTGCAGTCTCGCTGTGGTTGTACAACCTGCTCCAAAACATCGGACAGTGGGCTCCCCCGATAGAGTGGGCCCCTGAGAGCACCACGAGATCGGCCGTGGTCAGGCCTTTCTCGGCAAATTTGGCGATGAGAACGTGGGAGTCAGAGGCTGGAGACGGGAG